ATGAACTTTTTCATTTTGGTATTAGAAAGGACAACATTATTTATTATACCTCATTATAATTATTCTATACAACGCGTTTTCTGATTGGTTCTAGATTATCACGTGACAGGGCCATAAAACTTCATATTTCCCTGTCGGCGTCATACTTTTTATCATTATCCAAACTCTTCGGAGACCTAGTGCATTTTCCCGCAATAGTTATCGTTCGTTGAACGACAACCCCCAAGAGTAGTTTTGATGTCACAATAGCCAGGTTCACATCACAAATCTGTAGGCCTAAATTGTTTCCGTAACACTACGTTAAAATTGAAAGTGAATTTAAGAGCTGTGCCGAATTTGAAGTTTATGTTTATTTTTAAAGCTTTTGCTTGTTTCGGTATAATAAACAATTTATTGGATGAATGTTCGGGAGACATGAAGATTTATTCAGCCAAAAAATATCATATTCCCCTCGGGCGAAGTCCTCGGGGAATATGATTTTTCTTGGCTGAATAAATCTTCACATTTCCCTCACGACCATGCAATAAATGTATTATTCATTATTTGTTTGAACACCGTCATGTGTGTAACTTTTGTCAGTATTTCCAAACCGCTACTCCTTTGTATTTTTGTTCTATTTTTTTCTTGTTTCTTTTCTACAATGTTTGGTTAATGTTTGTTTAATTAGTATTATATCTGTATAGTGTGTAATTACCTTGACTTTGTTGTAGGGAGAGAGCTAAAACAGGCTTTTCCTGCTGCCCAATCCCATTCACTTTGTGAATAAAATTATTTATAAATTAAATTTCAATAAGGGTTGGCGGGGAAAATACTAGTGGTAGTTCTTCCCGTTCCCGTTCCGGTAAATACTACACATTTGCTCCAAACTGGGAAATATTGAAAAATAAAGGGAAATACAAAGTTAAAGTTTTCTCATTTCTTTAATTTATTCAATCTTATACAAAAATTCAGAACTGAAGTAAACATATAAACAAGTAGATGATAATGATGAATAATATTGAATGTCTCAAACTTCAGTTTAACATATTCAGGGTGTATCAGACTCCAGGGGCCCGTCTTACAAAAGAACTTACGACTAAGACCAAAATTTAATTCTGCTTATAACTTTTTAATTTACATTAAACAGAAAATCGTTTTAATATTTTTAAAAGGTATATAGAAAGATACTTTTACGCCAGAAAGTTTAAACAGAATCATTAATTTTGCAAAATATTACAGTCAACTGAAGTGTTTGGTCTTAAACGTAAGTTCTTTTGTAAAATGGGCCCCAGGTCCCCTAAGGCCAAGATTTTTTAATAAAATGATTTTCGGGAGCGCCGAGTGCAATTTTTACTAAAAGCAAATAAAAATAAAAGTCTGCGTTGTTGATTATATTTTTAAATTTCCCGCCGATCGTCAATGCAAGTGCACTAAGTAAATAAAATAATGTGCAAATAAGTCGGCAATTCTGATTAGTTGCTTTATTGAAAGCCATTTATATCACCCAATCAGTTTACGTTTGTTATCAACTGTTTTGGAAGTGTATAAACCGTGCAAACATGGATGCAGAAATGTCAAAATTTACAAAAGTTGAAAATACTTTGTCATTATACATGATAGTTGTTCCAAGTCAACCATAGCTAACAGGAAAAGCAATTAGAGTATGTCCGATGACGAAGTTAAGTGGGAAATTAAAGAAATGATCAACACGATTTTACTAGAGGATATTTTCACAGGACTGTCATTTTCGCCGTGGGCACCGTATACAGAAGTTCTCTTTTACAATTTTGATACCTTTGATGAACGTGATAAAAGAATGGAAATCGAATACAGATGATTTATATTTAACTGTATCTAACTTGCATGTATATCCAAGAAACGTTTTCAAACTTGTAACATTTTAAAAAGATGGTATGCAACACTGTTCAGACTGGAAATTTATTGGTATTTTGTTGTGTGTTAAACTGTTTTAGAATAGATATAAAAAGACACTGCGAACGAAACGATATTTAATGTGTTAATACTTTCAAGCTTTCGGAAGCTTGTTAATATTTATACACATATGCTGTAAATACAGGTTTAGATTATGATTCTGGGTTTTATAGTATAGTCATATTCTCTATAGTTATAACAATATTTTCCATTTTTGATTTGTTGGTTCATGATTTTTTCAGTACTTTGAGCATAGTGAGGTTCTCTTTATAAACTTTTTTTTTTTCTTTGGTCATCTTGTGGTGGTCATGATGAATATCTTCATAAGAACTTCCTTAGATTTCCCCTATTTCTCACAAGGGTTTAATAGTGTACTTTTAATTTTTGTCTTGCAGTTGTCATATTTAAAGTTCCATATTGTATATAGAGCATTTTTGTTAAAAATAATTTAAAACAAAAAAATCAGGCACTTTTTCCAATTTTAGTTTTACTTTTTTAGTCGACTGCGTAAAATATAGAATTCTATTTTTATTTATCCCCCCCCCCCCGACCTAATTTTTTTTTAAATTCCCTCTTAAATCATTTAATTAAAAAATTGTTGGCCTAAGAATAAGAATTCTGTAGCAGAACATGTTTCCCTAGCTGTATTTTAAGAACAACGAAATTGAAGTTTTCTAATTCAACTTTCTTTTCAGTTTTGTAAAATTATTAAGTTTATTATCATAAATCCAAGAACAAAATCAACTTGTTTAATCCGTGTTTAAACACTGTAGTTATTAGAATCAATCATGCTGTTTTAACAAATTTGCGCTCCTGTTTTTGAGAGATAATTACCTTGGGTAGAACTGAAAGACCTCTTCTCAGGTCTGATATTTTCATTATATTTTACATTTTACAATTTTCTTAGACCTTCTTTAGTTATGTATATATATAAAAAATACAAATGGGATCTTTGGGTTGATTTCATGGACATTTATAGACTACATCTGAATCATGCATGAAACAAATTACATTCATGACTGTTATATGATACATATTTATAATGATTATATAAAATTGAATTACTAGGAAACCAGAAATATTTAAATCAGGAAGTGATACCAGGTGGATATCTTATCCATTAAGGTGTTTTACATGTCTATACCCCGACAAATCTGATTAAAATTATGAAATATGTAGCTAATTTAATTTCCCAGTACTTCTCGAGAAATACATGTAATTCCCGGGAATTACCAGTATTTCCCACTGTCTTTGGAAATATGAGTATTTCGCGGTTTTTTGTCTACCCTGATTTCAACAACCTTGTTTTAAGTCAGCATTTCGTAAATTCTATGGTTCTTTTAAAGACTTTGTTAGCAAATATCATTGGGACGTATTTTGGCTGACGTGTTTCATACCAATTGTTAGGCTTTTGTTTTTAGACTGAACTTGACTACGGAATGTTCCGTCCACCTGAAAATACATAGGACTCACAGCGGCTGTGACTGGTCAACAGGGGATGCTTACTCCTCCTAGGCACCTGATCCCACCTCTGGAATTTCCAGCAGAAAAAAATCAGGGATCCGTTTTTATGTCCTCTTTATAGATTTGTATTGTTTATAGATTTTTTTTGATCATGCACTGTTTGTTATCTTCACCTTTTTCATTTTCACCTTACCATCTAATATTTACATTCATTGTATATTTCTTTATGAAATCCATTGGAAATCTTCAACATTCAATATCCTGTAACACACACGGAACCTTGTCACTACATATTAGAGTATACAGTAGGAACTACATGTACATGTATTTTCAATACTCCAGGAACACCAAAATGTATATTGTTTTGGTTCAATTTAATTAAAACCAATTACCCTATTAAATTATTGTAAAAATATAACAGTTATGCTTTTAAAAGTAATTTCTTATTTTTCCCTCGCAATATTCTTTACATTATTTAACTTTCCGCGTCACAGCGGTTCTTATGTCTTTAAGCACACCAGTTCTGAAAGGCGCTAAATCCATAATAAAGATTAACGAAATAAAACAATTACGAAGAGAGAAAATTAGAGATTATACATATAAGCATTGAATTCTTAATTTTGGATGTCGTCGATCCTATAACAGCACATGTCCGTGCTGACAAATTCTCATACCGCGCTAAGGCGCGGTATTGAATTTGTCGGCACGGCACGTTCTGTTAATGGATCGGCGACATCCAAAAATAAGAATTCAACGCTTAAATGCAGACATCGTCACAGATTCTCAGTTTTTCTTATCTGATATTGTAAACAAAGAATATTCTAATTCATCTGCTGTTTTTTTTTTAATCTTAACAAACTTGTTTTCTCCCCAATTTATAAATTGCCAACTGACATTCAACATGACGCGGAAGAAGTTTACATCAAAGCTATTGAAATAACTTTGATCACAATATAAAAACTCTTTTTGTTGTTCATTTAATAATGTTGCTAATTTAACTTCAGAAATAAACAGTCATTAAATGTGTTTCCATATTTTATCAAACTATTTTATAGTAAGTTCATGATGTCAGTGGGTAAAGCTATGGAAATTAATATTGAGTATTTTAATTCTATTGTAATTGACACCATATTCGATTCAAATTATATACACTGTATAAATGCAAATATAAGGAATCACTGTCTAGTTTGTTGGGTGTGCCAGGTCATCAACGATAGTTGGGAAATTGGGATAATTTATGCATTTATGATAATAATTACTAATAATTAATCATAATATTTTGCTTTATGTGTTTTCAACTATTGTTCATTACCTGGCATACCCAACAGACTAGACGACATTCTTTAAATACTTACAAGAGATTGATTTTTAAAATATTATTTGAAAAGTATATCACATAGAAATTTCAACACTACTTTCATTGAAAAGCTAAAATATGAAAATCATTATAAAGATTAATTACACTTTATCAACTTATGTTCAGGAACAAGTATGACTTTATTTACTTAAAAAAATCATAGAATGAGTAATAAATGGTACTGTGTGAGAAGTAAATCTGATCGAACACTTCTACTTTAAAAAGAAACTAATTATTTAAATTCATTTTAAATAAGTCAGACCTGAATTTACTTTATTTTTTTGTGTCTAATCATCATTACAGTCTTCTTGAGCGCTTCATAACTATTCATCCAGAACCTCCATACCGGGTACCTAGGACCAATTACAGCCGTCTGCGCATACTCGCCGTTCAGATTTGATTTGAGACACCAACGGTACCACCAAGCTCCTCGATACCGTATGGCACAGTCTTCATCATTTTCACTTGCATCATTATCCTGATCTTTTGTGCTGAATCTCATACCATTGTGATAAGCCAAACTGTCATCTGTAAAAGAGTACTGATTACATTTAAAGGCAGAGATTTTAAGCACCGCCTTCAAAAATACCTGGTCTGTGTACCCCTGTCAATCAAGTGCGTTAAGGTACATCATTGGGTGCTAGAACTTGATTGACATTTACTTACTAGTCCCTGTGTATACCCTGTACACCTTGTTTGACACTCATGGTGTCCTTCAAATTAACTTTTGATTCTTTGATGTTTACCACACATGGTATAAACAAAAGAGAAACTGTATTACTATGGAATTTTTAACTTGATAATATATATACATACACACCTTTAACATTTGAAATAATTATGATATTCTTTATGATAATATATATCAAAATTTGGTATAACTTTTTTTTCAAAGCTCAACAAATACTTTGAATAATAATATTTTTTAATGGGCGGGGATACTTTGACACATATTCAATTACAAATTAATAAAAATTATTGAGATTAAACTTTATTTACAACGTTTTATTTCTATTTAAAAATCATCTCAAATTACTAACACAGGTAAAGTTTGACTTCTTGGGTACTCTACTGTGTAATAAATCACTTCCTGTGTATAGGGATTAGGAGACAAACAACCGCAGGTAGACTGCTAGCCCTCAGGGCATTCACACCTGTACAAAATAAGCCCCTCCCTCACCTGGAATTTACCACCCGGTAAAAAATCTCTGCCTTTAAGTTTAATGCTTACAATAATCAAAGTACTTAGTAGGACAGGGAGCAAGGCTCATTCATAGAGCACTGACCACTACCGTTTCACATACAACATTCATGATATAACTGCTTTATAAAAATATAAAACAAATATTATTTGGCGATATATCAATAATGCATTTAAAAGGTCCTTAAAACACGAGAAAAGCAAGTTTTTAATAATCTCTGTATAACACTGTATAACCCACATTTGATTATCTGGAACACCATTTTCCATATTATTTTATGCGATATTTTTAACTTACAATTCGCAATACTATTGTCATCTGTGATTATTTTTCCTTTAATTATGTTTTAATTTTAAATTTAAAATTGCTAAATATTGCAACATCCACCAAATAAGGTTGGACGCTTGTCATGCTTACAAGTGCGCATTTACTATGTCCATATGTAAAATACATGTACACTGACACTTATGTTTCATCATCCAGCAGCGATGATACAGGAGTTAAACTGAAGTTCATTATATTTGCATTTTAATTTTCAATTTCTTAAAGATCTATATTTTACACACAGAGTTTAGTTTTATATCATAATTCAACTACTTACGTGTATTTGTTGTAGCACTGGGATTTTGCAAAATTATACATATACATGTATGCTATGAAATAAATTCTAAATATACTCTTAAATGTAATAAACTTAAATGAATTAATTTTCTCTTTAAAAATAAGGTTTCTTTAAAGTATGAAAAAAAGTGTATCCAGCGTTATACGTTCTGTTTACAAATTCCATTTTATATATAATGTATAAATAATTCAACGAATTTCTAGTAAATCATTTCAAATATAACTCGTAAGTTAAGCAGAAAAATACAAAGCCTGCCAAAATAAACTCATGTATGCTTATATTTTGTCGGTCTCTAGTTAATCATAAAATTAGTACACCTCGAACACATGCTAATGTATTCATAGTATTCGTACGCTTGATAGATGCAGACTCTCTGCCTTCTCATTCATATAATACAATGACCTACATAGCTGTAATGGCGAAGCCTGGATTTCACAATGAAGTATACAATTTTATTTAATCGATATAATGTATATATTGAAAGTCTCTGTCACGAAAATCTTTTAAGAGTATCTATACAGACTATGCTTGAAGACTTTAGCTAAACTATAACAATGTTCTGAATCTAAAAAGTAAAATTCTGTATTTAAACAAGAGGCCCAGGGGCCACCTGAGCACTCTGGCTAGGAAAAAAAGGAATCAGTTCAGTCTTGAAAAGTTTAAATATAAAACTGGTTGGGGGGGGGGGGGAGGTGTTATTTACCTAACTTGAATCTAAACTTCATAGGGATGCTTTGAATTAATACGACAAATTATGGCTTTGCTGTTCTTAAGAAGAAAATTTTGATTGATATATCCTTTGTATTCCTTTATATGATCCCCTGTTATGGCCCCTCTATTCTCCAGGGGATCATGATTTGTACAAATTTGAATCTACATTACCTGATGATGCTTCCATTTAAATATGACTAATAGCTTTGCTGTTCTTGAGAAGAAAATTTTCAAAGATGTTCCCTATATATTCCTGTGTAAAACTTTGATCATCCATTGTGGCCCCACCCTACCCCTGGGGGTCATGATTTGAACAAACTTGAATCTACACTACCTGAGGATGCTTCCATATAAATATGACCAATCATGGCTTTGCTGTTCTTGAGAAGAAGATTTTTAAAGATTTTTCCTATATATTCCTATGTAAAACTTTGATCGCTCATTGTGGCCCCACTCTTCACCCGGGGGTCATGGTTTGAACAAACTTGAATCTACACTACCTGAGGATGCTTCCATATAAGTTTAATATTTTCAAGCACAGTGGTCTTTGAGAAGAAGATTTTTAAATGATGCCATTAATTTTTCATGAATTCATAATTATCTCCCCTTAGAAGAAGGCGTGGCCCTTTATTTGAACAAACTTGATTCCCCTTTACCCAAGGATACTTTGTGGCAAGTTTGGTTGAAAATGGCCCATTGGTTTTAAAGAAGAAGATGAAAATGTGAAAAGTTTACGACAACCACGACGACAACGACAACGACGACAGACAACGGACAAATTTCAATCAGAAAAGCTCACTTGAGCCTTCGGCTCAGGTGAGCTAACAAGGCGAGAATGCAGTGTTAGGAAGATTCATTCTTTAAAATGTGTAACCCATCTTCATCAACATGAATTATATGAGAACGGGAACTGATCTAATTTGAAAAGCGTAATGTTTATATTGGGGGTTGTTGGGTAACCATCCGGCGATTTATCCGCACAGATCGGCGATCCCGTAAACTGGGCCATAGCTTACACTATGAAGCCCGGCTAAAAAATGAATTATTGTTAAGTTATCAACACTTAGTTGTCCTTGATATGCACTTTTTTGGAAAGTATCGAAGAAATGAGTTATTCTGCCACTGTAATAGGGTTTAATAACATTTAAGTGATATTCATTGTTAAAATAGCAGAAAATATTTCAAATGTGCACAGTGAAATATTATGTGACGTATACAGGAGTGTAGAAGTTCCAAGTTCCCATTATCTCAGGATACTCAGAACACTAAGTTTGGTTTATTGTACTTGAAACCCTGCAGGGACATTGACTCTTATTAAATCAAGTAGGAACCTTTACTATAACGGAATAAAATACTTTGCTCTTACAGCATACCCAGTATGTTATCTGAGCTTAAAGTCCTTTAGTACAGGGTGTTTCAACAAACATGACCCAACTTTGGGTGTCTATATTTTTGCACAATAATAATATTTACAAAATAGGAGCTGTTGTTTATAGAATGTTCAATATATATTTTGATATAAACACAATGTACTATAACGTCATCATTGTTTATTTTAAGTTTTACGTCATCAAAGTCAGCTGGTTAGGTTTTTTTTAATGGATGATAGAAGAGATCTCTGTATTTATATTGTTATAGCCCCCGTTCACACATAGACGCCGCTTCTACTACGATCAAAGCGTGGCCGAAAACGTGGCCGATCGTGACAAATCGCAGGAGAAACATAGTGGAGTCGTCATAAGCGCAGTATGATCGCGGTAGGCTCTTCATGATCGGAGAGCTCTACGCTCTCGACACGCTTATTTTGAACATGCTCAAATAAAGCGTAGCGGGATCGTGGCCAACAAGAATCGGGGTAAAGTCGTAAAAAGAGCGTAGTAGAAGTGGCGTAATCGTACAAGCAGCACGGAAGCATCGTGGAGAGATCTTCGTGATCTTCATGTTCGTAGTAAAAGCGCAGTAAAAGCGTAGTACAGTCGGGAACTTATCAAGTACGTTCCTACAACGCTCCCACGTTCTTACTACGTTCCCACTACCATGTAAATCGCACTAAAAGCGTAATACAGTCATAATATGATCGGCACCACCGTAGCGATATCGTCGTACAGTCATCTAGGTCTGCGTAGCGTCATAGTACGATCTTGAATGTCGTAGCGGAAGCGTAGCGTAAACGCACTAAACGCAGCCGCTGGTCGGCAACGGTACGCGTTACATCGCAGTAGAAGCGTGTTAGCAGCGCGTTTGACGTAGGGACATCGTAGTACGGTCTTAATGAAGACCATAATTTGCCAAATTGCTCGATTTAGACGCCGATCGGCTCCGATCCGCCCCGATCCAAAACTTTTTCAGTTCGTGGCTTGATCGGGATGATCGTCGTAAAGTCGCAGTTCTGTGTGAACGAGGGGGGGGGGGGGAGTCAGTACTATGCACACGGGAAATCCCTATATTCTAGTAAATAGGATTTTGAGAAAGAAGTACCAAGAGGAGAAGCATATTTCTGGGAAACACATTTTTGAAATGGGATCCAAATGTGAGCAATATGGGACGACTTAAGAAACAAAATTTGTCTGCGATTAAAACATTCGGCAGCCATTTGGAACACATAATAAAATGACGTTATATCGAAAACTGCCCCCAAGGTCCATATTTCAAAAGTCCCTGTCTAAAGAATAAATCATCCAGTTTTATTTAAACTTTCATATTGATATTTGATTGATTGTTGTTTAACGTCCCTCTCAAGAATTTTTCACTCATATGGAGACGTCACCACTTGTCGGTGGAGAGTTACAAATTCTGACCTATACTCGGCACTTACGGCCATTGAGCAGTGAGGGATCTTTTTCGTGCCAGCACCTACTGCGACACGGGACCTCGGTTTATACGGTCTCATCCGAAGGACCGGTCTCCACGTCCCACAGTGGGATTCGAACCCGCGACGTAAGGATCAACTCCTTACTCTGCGACTCTAGAGCAGACGCTCTAACCACTGCGCCACGCGGGCGACTCATATTGATGAAATTGTATGGTTAAATTCTTTTCATTTTTTTTAATTTTATTTTCATAACACTATATGAAAACAGCAAAGTTTGGAAATGTTTGCTTAAACACCCTGTACTATTCCAAGCTTATGACAAACTGAGATAGAGATTTATCATAACACAATACATATTCTTTTTAAAAGTATCCTCTCTTATACACAATTCATATCTTTATTATGCACTACTCACTCGCTGTCCCGCTGTATCCAGATACTGTTATAGTGTATTTATTGTTTTCATCTCCGATGTAAAATGTAGTATATTTCGCATAACCCTGTTCTCCGTTATATCTTCTTAGGTCCACTCGGAGCTCTTGGTTTTGATCCCGTGTTAAAGCATGGATTGCATCATTCCCTTAATTGGTTTAAATATTTAGTATATAAATACATATACATATACACAAAAATTCTATTGGATGATTAGCATCTTTAAAGGCTCTCATAGATTTTATTTTTTCGTTTCTGTCTATTTGTTTGCCTAGGTTTCTTTAAAATTGAGTTATATTGAAACTTTGGCAGTAGCTTTGGGAAAGAATTTCTCATCATCTTTCATTTTCGGTAATATTAGCAACTACTTTCCCTGAAATCCTAAATCGACGCACAGAAGTTTCTCGGGTACCAAACTGTATCGAAATTGGATAGTAACAATGGGAATATCATTTTGCAAGATACTTTTTTTTACTTTAAAAGTGAAAACTTTCATCAATATAAATATAGACGGTTTTCGTTTATTTCCATTTATAAATGAAATATAGCATGCATAATTCAGAAATCATCAATGGGAATGAAAATACAGAGCTGATGATTAACTGGTGATAAATTTTATCTGTTCCTGTCAAAAGCAGGAAGTAATTTGCTATTAATATTTCATTATTTATTCCCAGTAAACTCGGAATAAAAGAAACAACAGAATATGCCACGCCTGTGCATGTAAATTAAAATGTTTACTGAAGATAGACTTTAAAGGGACTGGGACACAGATATTGAAGTTAATATTTTCTGTAATTTTCTAACTAAATAATATCATTACTTATATGTTGTTAGAGCATTTCACAACGAAATACATTAAAAGCGTGTTCAGAAACTTTTTTTTTATTTGGAAATTATTAAAACAACGAAATTCGAGACGAGTTTGACACATATCCTTGCACTTTCACAAAGTAAACTTTATCCTTAAAACTTAAGAAAAGTAGAAATTTTGTTGTGTATTCATGAAAAATATTAAACCTATAACCCAGAAAGTTCACAGTATAAATGCAAGAAAACAAAACCAATTCATCAGTATTGTCAGTCCGTGTTCAGTGATGTGTGCAGACTAAACAAATGAACACACCCGCTAAAACGTAAACACTAACAATAGCAGAGCTCCTGTCCTGTTTATAAACAGGAGGTGTTTGACGTGATGTTATGAAGAATATCGTCATTATTGAATTCTTAGAATATTCATGTAAGTTCAATGTAAATCACATACGGTACCAATTTTGATGCACCAGATGCGCATTTCGACAAATTATGTCTCTTTAGTGATGCTTAAGCCGAAACGTTGGAAATCCAAATTCAAATCATTAAACTGAAGTTTCTTTTAAAGTACAAAATTGTTAACAATGCAACTATGTCCAGGTCTTTTTTATGGCATACTAAATAATGGAGGAAATGTCTTCAGCTTTCCAATCCACAAAACTCTTATATCTGTGTAAAGATATTCCATAATAACCTACAACGGTCTCAATGTCTCTTAACCGATTTAGTACGCAAAGTCTTCATGTACTTTCAATTTTTAATTTTTAAAGTTAGCATTTGGCAAATTCTCTGTTCCTTATACATGTAATGATATTGATTGTTAGCACAAGCTATCATTTGGTAGAGCTTTGACTGATAGATTTCAAACAAGCTGCTAAGCAATGTGTCAAAGGAGTATATTTATTTAATTGCCCTGTATTGAATCCCTTTAAATACTATCTTTTTTATCGAATATTGAAAGTTATCAGAAAAAAGGAATACACAGGAATACCTATCCAGTAGTTTTTAGAGGCATTCCCAAATCCGTGTTTGTACTCTTTCCATGTCCTGAAAAAATCAACATCGCCATCTTCTCGTTTCTGAATTACCTATAAACAATATTCAGTGACTTATCAGAAAGCGTCTTGAACATACAACTTGTCAAAGGGATTATGTTTAGTTTCTTTGTTTGTTTTCTGCCCCTGGGCACAGTAAAATACAAAATAGCTAATTTGAATTAAAATGAAGGGTTTCACCCTACTAGATATTTCGTGGATGCCATAATTGCCTCGTATTCAGGTTTAATGATGGTTTTTCGTAGCGGTTTCCAGCAAAATATCTAACACGACTTAGTTAAATGCTGGTAAAACCAGACATGTTGCATGTCACAATCAGTAATAGATGGAATGAGATCGTTTGAAAAATTTTGTTTTTATGATGAAGATTGCTTACACCAACTGCCACAGTATTTTTAAAAAAAATATATAAAGATTTCTTATAAAAGGGCAATGAATAGAGCACAGGGTATTTATCTAAAAAATAGATATACTACTCACCGTCCAACCACCTTCATCTGTCGTCATGTCACAGAAGACCTCTCTTCTGGTGTCGGCGTAAATGATATATATGCCATCCTGGCCTTTCCTGCTGGGGTTTCTTTTCAAAATCTCCGAACAATCCTTGTATATTTTTTCTATTTAATGTTTAAATAAATCAAATCATTAATCATCCCACTTAACTTACTATTGCAATTTTATATTACATTTTGTAAAACGTATCATCTCTTGATTTCCTATCAACTTCTCTATATGTCAGCGCACCTGTGCATACACGTGATTTGAAATTCTAAGATCAATTATTCTCATTACAAGCATTTTACCCTTCAATTCCTTTTTTTTTTTTTTACAAAACATCATATGAATCTTATCGACACTTCCCCTCTATGAAAACCCCATCTTCGGAAGCCTTCGTTAGTATTCCTTTAGGTGTTCAAAACAAAAAAAAATTGCTGAAGAATAAGAAAAGCACTTGTTAACTTTCTATATACACTCAAAAAGTGTTTTCTTCACTATAATGTTAGCTTCTCTTGTGCTTTTTTGAATATACAGTAGATATATATATATATATATATATATATATATATATATATATATATATATATATATATATATATATATATATATATATATATATATATATAGCACATTTTACAACAACTCTTAAACTAACATAACTGCCCTAAGTGAAGAAATATTAATACAGAAAGCACAAAGAAATTCACTTTTATAAGGATACCCACTTCCGCCCCAGCCCGGGGTTGAACTCTCGACCTACGGAATCTGTCTCCTAGCAGTGCAGGAACAGCGCGCTAGACCGCTCGGCTATCTAGGCAAGTCAAAAAACTTGCTTTCGATGCCGATGGAATTCTCGCGGCGCTGTCCTACACTACATGGTCATTGAGAATGGAAGTGAGATACAGTTATTTGGACATTAGTTTTATTAGAGGGTCGTTACCAATACACGTTGTAATGAAATTAATTTTTATTTATAAAGCACATTTTACAACAACTCTTAAACTAACATAACTGCCCTAAGTGAAGAAATATTAATACAGAAAGCACAAAGAAATTCACTTTTATAAGGATACCCACTTCCGCCCCAGCCCGGGGTTGAACTCTCGACCTACGGAATCTGTCTCCTAGCAGTGCATTTAATTCACAGGAAAAGGTTACAAAGTGTAATTTAAAGACATCAAATCTTCTTTCTCAAGCAAATAAAACAAACAAGGACGAAGATTCTCTTAATAAGATATATTTATATTTATATAATATAACAAACATATTTCAATTAAGTGAACAAAGTAAAATAGAAGCTTGTAAAATAAGGATCGGAGGGAAAAAAATCGATAAATTAAACATGAGAATCTCAACAAAAGTTGTAATTCAGCTAACCAAATTTTAGAATCAACACTTTCGGAAATATGCTGAAATAATTATTTTTACCTTCCAAAACAGGTGAACAGTTACCACGAATACAGATTTCATCCTCGGTGCATGAATGGTTTAAACAATCACCAACAAGATGCTGAAAATATATCAACTTAATGTCGTAATTCGATTTATATGTAACTCAATTCATTTTTATTAAAATGTTTCAAGATTTCTTTTTTACCTGTGGAAAATTTCCCAGGTCAACATGAATGATTCCGTCTTCTGACATTAGACGACTGACATTCTCGATGGCAAATCTTGTGTTTAGACGGCATGTCTTTTCTTTTTGTATCCAATCCACTGACCAACATAACGTAAACTTGTAACAAACCATCATGCACATTCCAATGTCAGCATTGATCAAAAGGCTAAAACCAGGCACTGAGGAATTTTCATAATTGCTTTTAATCAAAGTTTTTGAGTCGAAGCACTGAGAGAAGCAAGTATGCAACAGAAACAGGACTTGTCCGATGAGGTACAAACTGACCGTACTGGGAACTGTTGAAAGCCCCATTACGACAATTTTTTCTTTTTAAATGTTAGAGCGATCAACATTTATTGTCATGGATTCTTACCTAATAAATAACTGATCTGGTCTTTTAAACGTCTTTAATGTATATTTCAATCGTTAAGTACGTCTGTTAATAATTGATAAGGTCTCGTGTGATAAAATCATCAATTATTCAGTAAGTTATATTACCTCGTTTTAATTTAAAAATTGGTAAATTTAAAACCTTAATTGTTCTTGTTTCCAGGAAAATACTGAATCAGGAAACTAGGCACGGCCTTTCCGTATGGTTGCAACAGCCACATAAATAATGTAGGGTATCTTTTAAGCCCAAATTGTGCCAATGTGAATGTGATGGAGCTTACTACAAGTCCTAGAGGCAGGCGTAGTCATACTTGATGTATCTGTTGATTCACTTTTGCTTTATGTCAATAAACAATTAGACTTTCGTCACATTCGCACTAAACTTTACCCGGTTCCCGTGAAATTTAAAATGGAATAATTGAAGAAGCTAAAGCAAGTCCATACTTTGATTCATCAACTGCAGAATACAATCTAGCTTAGTGATTATGGATGTTGCCAAGCACAAGCTCATTAAGCCACCACGTGTTTCATAAGAGAATTCTGACTCAGCCCGTCGGTTCCTTAAACTTAAATTTGCCAACAAAGGAATAGATGCTATGTACCATTCTTAATCACAAAAATGTTCAATCTTGCATTACACTTTATTTTAAGTTGAAGTCTACACCCTGAATTTCCTAAAGATATTTCCAAACCGTTGCTTCCAAACTTTTCAATTATAAACAATCCTTACAGTGGCCAGATATTGAACATCAAAAACAAAATTCTCTTAAAGTCATATATGGCGTATTTTTTATAAGTTCAGACTAACTAAAATTACAAAGATCTTTCTATTTGTTTTGATACTTTATACAAAGATAGGACTTTCCTGTAAATTACACAATTTAAATCAATCATGTTTCAAAGATATTAGAAATTTAAAACAATAACCGATTTATTTACCGACTCCGCATTTAAATAACAGACACAGTTTAAAGTTAATAATAACTATGGAAAGTAACGTTATTCAAGGTCAAAATCGATAAAAAATTTAATTTGAACGCAAACAACATATATCATGTTTATTTACAACTGCTTTTTAAAAATAAAAATGGAACTCGGATATTTTTGTATCTTGTGATTGGTCATGAACAGAACTACTTTGTTAAAAATCACTCTGATTCTACACGTGACACAAGTACTCTGAAATTGATATTAAAATGATGCTGGATTTCCTCATTGACAACATTTATATACTTTGGAGACCGTGTGTTCCAGCAACCTGTTGGAATTCCGATGGACACTAATAATGTTCTTCATTAGCCGACCTGCTTTTTATATTCCTATGAATCAGAATTTAGTCTGAAACTTCTACATAAGGAGAAGAAAACGCTTGTTGTGGCCAACTCGACATTTAGGTATATCGACAACGTTTATCAGTCATATGTCGACTCGAAATATACCAATGAATTCAAATAATAGACAATACAGAGTCTGTCATATCTTATCTTTATTTGGATGTTTTACTGACTACGATAAGGTCCAACTAACAACTAAATTGCAAGACAAACGAAATAACCTGCTTATCCATCGTCAAATGTCCTTATTTATGTACTTATATTCCGCTATCACCTGCATATGCTGTGAACGCCTCCCAACCTATATGATACCCAATAGCATGCTCTGAACACGATCAATTTTTAAACAGCTGGTCGTATTTTGACTGACATATTTCATACCTATTGTTAAGTCTTTACACTAAATGTGACTACGGAATGATCAATGCATAGGGCTCACGGCCGGTGTGACTGGTCAACAGAGAATGCTTTTTCCTCCTAGGCACCTGATCCCACCTCTAGATCACTGTTCATTATCTTCACCTTTTTTTTTTATCCCAAATAAATGAATTTCTCAAGAAAGATGTAAAGTTCCTTTTCCACCTTTGTCTCGAAAACACGCAGAAGAAATATTTAATTTGATGTTAAGTATGAACATGACATATATAGAAGAAAATTCCTAAACGAAAAATGAAAAAAATGATTGAGGAAAGATGGAGCTTACTGAAGAGCTACGCACGCTAACTTTCGATTCCCGCCTACATTTTACACCCATTTAATTCAATACCTTTTTCACCCATTTAATTCAATACTAATGGCAATTTGGCCATAAAATCTTTGTTGAATGCAAAGAAGAGTTGATTAATTGATTGATTGGTAATTGATTGATAATTTTAATACTAGTGTTAAATAGTTAAATACTCTTAATTCCAGCTCCTTTCATAAGGGGTTAGACGATCTTCCATTGGAATCGGACTTGAAAGCATCCTCATGTTTTAAAATATTCTTGGATATGGATAAATGTTCCTTCAATCTTTTCTTATGTATTACCTTAAAAATTATGTAATTGATAAAATACATTGTTTAAATTGTAAACCCCTTCGAAATTGATGAAAAAATGAGCATTTTTGTCGTTTTTTGTCTGTAAACATATGCCCCCCCCCCCCGCCCCCAGTGAAACACAAAAAGTATTTGTATGAATTTGTGAAGTAACAATCCATATTACCTATAAAAATGAATTTTTGTTTCACAAGGGGGAAAGATGTTTTAAAAATATTTTCCGTTTTCCGTTGATTTCTATAGTGAAAAACAGTTTTACCAAAATTATAGAGTTCTCTCTCTTTTTTTCCCAAATAAGTAATGTTTTATGAAAATTTATATAAATAGCTTTATAAATTTGAAAAAATCATTCAAATGTGTTAACTTTTGAAAATTGACTTGGAGGTAGGCGGGAAAACAATACTATCGTTCGCAGTTCTTTCTTTAATCCATTTTTTTTTAAAAATTGAAATATGGCAATAATTGAATTTTGCCAAAAATAAGGATTTATGAGAGAAATTTATGCTTCCCATAATATAAGAAAACCCATAGGCCTCTTTTTGTTTTGTTTTGTTTTGTTTTTTTTTTTCTTCAAAAAATCTTTATATATTGATACCTCTATCTACTTTGGTTTTTGCCCTAAAATTCCTTCCATTCAGTAATCTGCGTTACTTTATAAAATATTAAAATAAACAAAATATTGTGTCTCATCTATCAAAA